CAGCACTGTGTCAGGCCATCTTGTTGTGGGTATTCCTCTTCTTTGCTGACACTCCACCTCTCCAATCAGGAAAGGGAGATCTGGTGGCCTAGTGGTAAAAAATTGCACTGCCAATTCAAAGGCATGCAGTTCAAATCCACCAGCTGCTCCTCAGGAGAAAGATGTGCAGTCTCCTCTTGTGTCATTTATTGTCCCTGAAAACCTGCTGCAGGGTCAGCCATGGGTTAGCTCCAACTCAGTGGTACACAGCAACATGTCCCAAGAACGTGAGACGAAACTTCACCATACTTGTCTGTAAGGAACGCTCTAGATGCACTTTCTCCAAGATAAATCTAGGGAGGTGCATGTATCTGTTCGTGTGGCAGCTCTTGTTTCTCTGTGAATAGTTCCATTTTAAGGAGTTGGCTTTTGTGATTGGAGGAGGAGTGCTGATAAGTTTGAAATCCATGGGGCAGGTGGGAGGATGCAAGGCTGGAAATTATGCTTCATTTTGAGGCAGAATTTCTGGCAAGCCCGAGATAAAGGATAAAGCCCACCTATAATATTGAAGGTAATGAAAAGGCAATTGATATTGACCACAGCCACACCTTCATAGTTAACTCCTAGGTTAGTATTTAAAACCTGGGTATTTTAATTTAGCCAAGTTAGCACATTACAGTGGTTTAGAGTAATTACTAGTTTGTACATCACAGTGGTGGCAAGAAGCGTAGAGGTGGGAGTGAAGGCAGGACATTCTCACAAAGCTAGAGCCTATACCATTACATAAGTCCTCAAATCCCAGGGCCATGGATAGTCTTAAATATCTTTGATATTTTAAACTGGCTGTTATTTTGCTTTTAAATATCATTTTACTCAGGGGTATGATCATTGGGGGAAAGGGCTCTTTTATGGGACTCCATGTGCTCTGGGTCTGCCTAGCCACTAATGGCTCTGGCATACTGCAAAGTCACTCACTGAGAAGTCAGGCTGCACATTTGCAAGCAAACTTATTACTTGCAAAGATGCACTCTGAATCTCCGACTTTCCAGTTAGCCACCTGAGGTTTTTATGCCCTACACCAGCATGTTTTTTCTGAGTGGATGAGATGCTGAGTTGGGTGCAAAGGTGCTGTCAGCACACAGCTCTAATCAAACAGCTGCTTCTACTTGTAACTCAGAGTACAGATCCTAAGATCTCCTCATACATTGTGAGTGTGAGCAGGGAATGAGGTCCTGGTGACTGTGATGCCTGCTCTGAAAATTCCTGTGTACCTGGGGCTGAGAACTGGGGGAACTCCTGTTTAGAGAGAACACAGTCTACCATTGCTCTCTCACTGCCCCCCTACATTCCTTGTAAAGAATAAAGCTAAGTTTTCACAACTAGACCTACTTTTCATTTCTTTTCCTGTCTATAAATTTTCATAATCTCTGCAATGCTTTTTTTTTTAATTTGTCAACTGTGCTGAACAAAACAAACACAAACACCTGTATTCTTCCCAGTACAGATGAACTATGACCAAGTTAAAAGGCATCATTTAAGATTCACACAAATTGCTTGCATCTGAGCCATACATAGTGTAGATTCTACAAGATTCTGCTTTGCTCCCCTAGTGAATAGTTTCATTCAGAGGGCTTACTCTTCCACTCTTACCTGCTTGGTACAGGTAAAAGAATAATTTCTCTGGGATAACCTCTTTGTTCTCACTGCTGCTGGGGCAGCTACACTTGTCTTTCATTGGTTCAGTGCTGACCAGAAACCCAGTTCTGCACTGGGTAAGCCTCAATATTTAGATAGGCTGAGCTAGGGAAGCAAAACCCCCCTACAGAAAAGCACTTTCTCCAGAGACATTTCAGTAAGATTTAAACAAGACAAAGATAGTCATTTGGATGAGGAAAATGTAGCATACACACAGCTGTGGCCTGTGGGACTGGCTGAATCATAGTTTTTGTTACACATGATAGAGAACAAAGGATATCATCAAAGATGATCACAAGATCTGGCAGGTCAGTTCATCACTGCCACAGGCAGAAATACATAGATGGGGTGCAAGATTGGGATATGTAGATTCGTTCTAGGGTCTTGATTATCTTGTGGTAAGGGATGTCTTCTGCCCATGATAGGGACCCTTGACCATAGTCACCAGACTGCAATGTTTGTTAATCTACCAACTAGTCTGAAAACTCATAGCTGACCCACCGTGGGTTTTCAGAGGTATTTAAATCTATATATGGGGGAGATTGTCCTTCTTTTTCTCTGGGGAGCAGCTGATAGATTTGATCCTGGTGTATTTGAGTTGGCTGCACAACCCCTTTCCACTAAACTGCTAGAACTCCCTAGCTTGTATTCAAGTCTCATTAGATGTTTTTAAATATATCAGAAAAGGCCTAGATAAGTTCCTTTGCGAGAACATCTGTGTATTTTCTACTAACTTGTTTTTAATTTGAAAATGTTTTTATTCTTTAATTTTTCATTGTTACACATTTTTTCCTCCCCCTCCCCCTTCACTTTTCTGGAGGGCACTCTTCCGGCTCTCCCTGGGCTTAGAGCATAGCCAAGGTGCAGCTTAGAGGTGTCACTTAAGAAAGAGCCTAACTGCTGCTTGGATCTCAGCGCTGTGTGGTGTGGGCTCTAGATGACTCTGCCCTGCTCTCCCGCCCGCCCAACCGCCTTGTACTTCACCTTTCAGCAGTTTCAGAAATCGTTACCAAAACCTCCCTCAGTATTGGAGGCCCCTGCTGTATGGCCAAGTCTCTTCCCAAAACCTTCAATGCCTGACCTCAGGCTTTTTTCTGCTGGATAATCCTTCTAGTAACAAGAATCACAAGGTGGGGGGAAGGGCGGGAACAAAAGAGGTCACAGCTTTTGGGGAGGTCTTCCCACAACCTAAACTTGAGGAGAACAGGACACACATGCCAGTTAAGGCTGACAGCTACAGAAGTCCGGTAGCCCAGCAGTGGCTTGGCGAAACTCCCAGACTGGCGGATGTTGATTCTGCCGCGGAGCGCAGCGCACAGGAAGCCGAGGAACTATGCTTGAGACCGAGATGGCGGTTTCCGTCTTCGGTGAGGGCGGGGCGCACCTCCAGGCCCTCGAAAAGGCGAGCTCCCGAGCACGGAAGCTTAGTGCTTTTACCTACATCTCGCATGCTTGTACGCCGGCATCTACAAAAAGCAGACTAACGGCACGAAACATGACACGGGTGAGCGAGCAGCTCACAGAAGCAAAGATACATTCTAAATTTAAGAGCGAAAACCATCTATCTAATCCAGGAAAGACCGTAACACTCAAAGCAATGCCGGGGGTGGGGGGAAAGGGAGACAGGGCACAAGACCGAGCTGCCTTAACTTTCTTATAACCCATGGCTGAGATTCCAAACAAGGGGCATTTCCTCAATCATTAAGTGTCACAGCCTCTTTCTAGTGCCGTTATGGGTGGCTCTGAAAAGAGCCTTTGGATACGATGGAAGCTCCAGGGGAGCACGCAGTCTTGGCTTAAGCCCGCTCACCGCGGATGCGGCGGGCCAGCTGAATGTCTTTGGGCATGATGGTGACGCGCTTGGCGTGGATGGCGCACAGGTTGGTGTCTTCAAACAGCCCCACCAGGTAGGCCTCGCTGGCCTCCTGCAGCGCCATCACGGCTGAACTCTGGAAGCGCAGGTCGGTCTTGAAGTCCTGCGCGATCTCGCGCACCAGCCGCTGGAACGGCAGCTTGCGGATCAACAGCTCGGTGGACTTCTGGTAGCGCCGGATCTCCCGCAGCGCCACGGTGCCCGGCCGGTAGCGGTGAGGCTTCTTCACGCCGCCGGTAGCCGGCGCGCTCTTGCGAGCGGCCTTGGTAGCCAGCTGCTTTCGCGGGGCCTTGCCACCGGTCGACTTGCGAGCAGTTTGCTTAGTACGGGCCATGGCGAAACAAAAAGAAAACTAACCAACACAGCAGCACTGAGAGTAACGCGGCGCTCAGCGCGGCAGCACCCTTTATAGGCGCAGCCTCTTCCCGATTGGGCGGGGCGAAACTTGAAAGTCCCGCGCTGACTACGGATTGGCTGTGACGTCACCTACGCCTGAAGGAATTCTCCTTTAGCGCGCCTTTTTGCAGTTTGCAAAGTTTTTCCTGTATTTCCTTCATCATTGTTTGGTGGCAACTTATTTGGAACGAACACATTACCTCTGCCACCCTCCCTTTCTTTGTGCATCACTTGTTTAGTTCGGGACTGAACTTTGGGTCCTTTATCCCCTTCACCTCTGCCCCATACGCCTAATTAATCTTTCACAGGCACTTCCCTCCATTTACTTTGACTAATAGTATCCTCCTGGCTGTTTTTTTGGTGAGAAAAGCATTATCTATCCCAGGGCCTAAGCCTGCCTCTGAAATCTCAAATGAGTCACATTGCTGCGGCACAGGATTGTTCTTTTTCCTCCCTCCCTCCTTCCCAGTGACACTGGGTCAACTATATTGAGACTCAGGTCCACTACACTCCTTAAAACTGGTGTCCTACCGGTGAATTGGGCATGCTTTGGACATGTTGCTAGGAAAGGTTATTCCTTGGAGAGGGTCATTCTGTTTGGAGTGGAAGGACAGTGAAAGAGAAAGACCCTCAACAAGATGGATTGGCAGTGACTGCAGCAAGACTCAAGTCTATTCACACGATTACTGATTTGTACTCAACTCGACAGCACCTAACAACCGACGAATTGTGGGCCAAGAGGCAGCAGGGGACTAGTTGTACACACAGAGGAATGCTCAGACCAGAATGACGTCTTGTTTCAACTTGTGTTTAGGATGAAAAGCTTCACCCATAACATGCCACTTAGTTGAGACGGTCGTTGACCAGAGTTGGGGAGCAAAGCAGATGGCACTCCAGTCTCAGCTCTACACTGGAAAGCGTTTATCATTTACTAACGCCAAAAGGAGTGTATAGATTGTTAACAACTCTTTCCTTGACAGTGTGGGCGGCTCTGAAAAGAGCCTTTTGATTTATGGTGTATCTCTCGAGCGGCTGAGCAGGCTTCCGAAAGCCCAGCTCACTTGCCTTTTGCCTTGTGGTGGCTTTCAGTCTTCTTTGGAAGCAACACTGCCTGGATGTTGGGCAAAACGCCGCCCTGAGCAATAGTGACTTTGCCCAACAGCTTGTTGAGCTCTTCATCGTTCCGAATGGCTAGCTGCAGGTGCCGGGGAATGATGCGAGTCTTTTTGTTGTCGCGGGCAGCATTGCCCGCCAGCTCCAGGATTTCCGCCGTTAGGTACTCGAGCACTGCAGCCATATAGACTGGTGCGCCGGCTCCAACCCGCTCGGCATAGTTGCCTTTCCGCAGTAGGCGATGAACACGGCCCACCGGAAACTGCAGGCCAGCGCGGGAGGAGCGCGACTTAGCCTTAGCACGAGCCTTACCTCCTTGTTTGCCTCGGCCAGACATGACAGCTACAGTGACAGAAAGAAGCGGGAGCTAGTAGAATTGACCACCAACAAGCTGTCTACAAACAGCGCAGCTTCACCTTTTTATACGTAGAACAGCGACTGCCTACAGCCTGTTTTGATTGGCTAAGGCGTAGTTTTTCCTGTCGACCAATAGAATAGCTCGGACTAAATCCATCATTTACATAATCTTTGCACCGTCAGTGCTGCGGGGGAAAATGCTCCAATCACAGTGCGGCCTCGTCAAATGCCTTATTTGCATACCTCCTCTATAAGTAGCGAGCTGCTTCAACCCGCCACCATCAGACTGTTGCTTTTACAGTTGAGTTGGTTTCTTCGAGTTGTTATTCCTCAGTCATGCCAGAGCCGGCTAAGTCCGCTCCTGCTCCTAAAAAGGGCTCAAAGAAAGCTGTTACCAAGGCGCAGAAGAAAGACGGAAAGAAGCGCAAGCGCAGCCGCAAAGAGAGCTACTCTATCTATGTCTACAAAGTGCTGAAGCAGGTCCATCCAGACACCGGCATCTCGTCCAAAGCCATGGGCATCATGAACTCCTTCGTCAACGACATCTTCGAGCGCATCGCCGGCGAAGCGTCCCGCCTGGCACATTACAACAAGCGCTCGACCATCACTTCCCGGGAGATTCAGACGGCCGTGCGCCTGCTGCTTCCTGGCGAGCTGGCCAAGCATGCTGTGTCCGAGGGCACCAAGGCTGTCACCAAGTACACCAGCTCCAAGTGAGTCCCCTTTTGGGACGTGGTCTCCAGTATTTGGCCCGTTTACTCCCAAAGGCTCTTTTCAGAGCCACCCACCTTGTCAGTGAAAGATGCTGTCACTCTGCACATTGTCTTGAGTTTATTTTTACTTAAATGTTTCCTTTGTTTTCTCGCCATAGTTGAGCTATGTGAAAGAAAAGACCTGATTAGTACCAAGATCACCAAAAGTACTAAATTGTGTTAAGAGCTCCTGTGGTCTGTACCAAAGGCTGTAGTTTTTATAGTAGGCTTTATAGTGGCTACAGCTGAGACTTTTTGAATTTATATCTTTTGTTTAAAAGTGCCTGGAAAAATTTTTAGTGATTCCTCAGTAAGAGAAGCTGATCTCTGCCTTTTCCTACATAAAATAGTGTAAAATCTACCTAATGCAGTGAGAATGTCTACCCTCACGTCATTTCTAGAATTAGAAGTATGTCTTCATGTAACTGAAGTATGTCAGGGAACAAGAGGTTAGCCCCAAACAATGGGAACAAATGAATATAAATTTTTGGACTATCTAGGTACAGAAAGGCCCCTAGGTGGTCAGAATGTAGTAGTGCTAGGGGAGCATGATTGGTCTGAGTTTATTCCCAGTTTAACTCTGTTGACTGTTTTAGATGGGAATTGCTTTTGAACTAACCTCATTAAGTTTAAAAGGTTACTCTGGTTGCTTTGAGGATTATGGATTCTAGACTAAGTAAATAAAATCTAATTAGTCTGTAAGAGTGATTCTTAAAATCTTGGTTGCTTAGCTAAGAGAATATTTCAAATTCAAGCAAATGCTCCACAGGAGAAAAACCATATTCAGCTTCTGTAAAGATTACAGCCTATCAAAGCAACTATAAGGTATCTCACTCCAGTAAGAATAGCAAAATTTAATAACAGCAAACAACAAATGCTGGCCAGGTTGTGGAGAAACTGGAACCCTTATTCACTGCTGTTGGGAGTATAAAATGGTGCAACCACTATGGAAGGCTATACGGTGCTTTTTCAAAAAGTTGCAAATAGAAATACTATTTGACCCAGCAATTCCACTACTGGGAATATACCCCAAAGAAACCATAACCACCACCCAAGCAGATATATATGCACACCCATATTTATTGCAGTTTTGTTCACAATAGCAAAGAGTTGGAAACAATCTAAGTGTCCATCAACAAATGAATGGATAGAGAACCTCTGGTATATTCACACAATGGAATACTACACAGCATTGAAAAACAAGGGACCAATGAAATATACAAAATAAATTACCCTGGATGACATTATGCTGAGTGAAGAAACTCAGTCACAAAAGGACAAGTATTGCATAGGGCCACTGTTATAAAATGGGATTGACATTGGGGCTGGGGGGAGATTGAGAAAGATGGGATAAATAATGTATACTGCATTGAAATAGATTAGGGAGAGAACCGTTTAAAGGGATATATGATTAGGTATTATTGTCATGATGTGAGTCCAGAACAAGGCTGCACAGTGGAGTGGACTTGGGGGGAGGGATTGTATAACAATGAAAGAATTTTTTTTTACTTTTCAAAGAGAAGAGTGAACGGGGGGGGGGGGAGGCATGGGCAGGGAGAAAAGTGTAACAACGAATGAATAGAAATCCAAAGTCTCTGTAAATTTTCATTAAAATTAATAATAATTTTTAAAACTGAAAAAAATTACAGTCTAAGAAATTTGGGATTATACTGTCACATGGTTTTGATTTGAGGATCAGGATCATGTGTGTTAGAAACAAAATTTCTCTGGCTCCAGCTTTAGTCCTGGGAGTTAATTCTGAAGCAAGCAGAATCATGAGTCCTCCATAGCCCTGTGTTGGTTACATTTGGAGAACAATGGAAACTGAGATTTCCATTGGAAACTGGAACTGTTAAGATTTATATTTTAGAAGAACTGATGGACTTTGCTAATGGATTAAGGACCCCTGGAAGTACAGTGGTTATGGCCAAGAGAGTAAGGAGTTGCACTGACATTCTAAAGGCACATGGTTCAAATCCACTAGTTGCTTTATGGGAGAACAGTGGGCAATCACCTCCCATGTAATTCACAGCCTCTGACAACCTGTTGGAGCCCCAGCTATGAGTTGATTCTGACTCCACAATCCATAACAACAACAAGAACCCAAAGATTAAAGGTTTGGGGCTCACCTGTCACTCCATGCAAGAGAGATGAGGCAATCTGTTTCTGTGCAGATTTACAGCTGTGGAAACCCTGTGTGACAGTTTTCCCTGTCCTACAGGGTCCCCAAAATCAGAATCAACTTGATGGCAGTTATTCGTTTTTACTTTCAGGAGGGAGGAGACAGTGTTTGGTATTTTTGGTTGATTTGGGTAGCTCTGATGGATACAGTTGGTTATGAAATAAACAGCTCATTTTTTAGCTTGAGCAGTGTTGTTATGTACTGTTGATTCAGAACAGCTGACCCTCCTGTGGTTTTTCAGAAGCAGTAAATCACACAGGAGATTGTCCATCTGTCTTCCATAGAGCAACTGGTAGATTTTAACTGCATGCCCTTGTGTTAGCAGAACAGCACCTTACCACTAAGACACCAGAGTTCCCACTTTTTACTCTGACACACTTAAACCCATTACCCTAGTTACTATATCAATCCATCTTCTCCGAGGTCTTCCTCTCCTGTGCTGTCCCTCTACCCTTTAAAGAATGATATCCATCTCAAAGAACCAGTCTCTCCTGGCCACATGCCCAAAGTATGTGAGACGAAATTTCAAAATCCTAGCATCCAAGGAGAAATTTGGCTTTACTCTCTCCAAGACAGACCTATTTGTTTTCTTGGCAGTCTACGGTATGTTCAAGACACTTCTCCAGCACCACAACTTAAAGGCATCAAATTCTTCTGTCATCCTTAGTTGTTGTCCAGCTCTCTAATGCATAACAAGTAATTGCAAAGACCATGGCCTGAATCAGGCTCACCTTAGTCTCTGGACTGACATTGTTGTTTCTTAGTACTCTGGAGAGGTCTCTGATGGCAGATTTTTCCCAGTGCAATTCATTTTTTGATTTCCTAACTGCTGGTGTCAAGAGTGTATACTGGAATTGGCAGTTTGAGAGACAATTTGAATTTAGAAGAGAACAAAACACTGTCTTTAAGGCCTTCTACTTTGTTCTTCTTATGTATTGTCATAAAATATGAGTCAGTGGTTGGTTGCTCTGCTATATATATTATTGACTATGCAGCATTTTCTTTTCTGAATCTCCAATTATATCTTTTTTTTTCATGGTAAAGACTGCTTTATTGGTGACAGTTAGTGCAAGTCAATAAATACTGATCCCCAAAGAAGAGCTCTTTTCATCAGATTACTGGTCCATAGGGCACGGAATTAAACTGAAGCCAGAGCTGGGATGATAATTTGAAGTCAATCCTGCTTCTTGGGAAACGAAGCCACAGCCATCTGATAT